GCACTCTTACTTGGAAAAATTAAATGAACTAACAGAAATGAACAGTCGTTTAAAGAATGAGAATAGAGAAACGATTTGGGAAGTTCTCTAGGTGAAAACAAGAGGCACGTAACTTGTTTTAGACTCTTTCTTAAAGTTTTCTGATAATTTTGTCCTTGGTTTAACTCCGTTTGAAAATTAAGCTGAATTATATTTCAAAATAATTGAAATACAAACAAATGAAATATAAACAAGATATTTGGTTAAAGAGTAATTCCTTATTTGGGTAAGGAATAGTGTAGAATTCAATTTTGCTTTCTTCATGCTTCGCCTAGAGAAAAAAGTAAAGTACTATAAATTTGAGGACTATGCATAGCTATGATAAAAATAACTTGAAGTAAGAAAACCATAAGGAAGAAGAGGTAGTCCCACTTGAACATCTCTCATCTCTTAGAGAACTTGAGATGTTACTAATTAAGGAGGCCATTCCTTTGCAACTCCAAAATATATTTCCAACATCCTCTTCCTCTGTTCACTTGAAATTCCAGCCAAGCTTAACTCTGTGATATTCTATTTGTCCACATCTGAACACCTCTTTAATTGAAAAAGGAATTTAACTAGAATAGATCTTTTAACCCCCATTTCTGTGTATCTTTAATTGGGCTCAGATATCACTTCTTAAGAATAACATCCTGGCTGGCCAGTTAGCTCAGCTGCTTAGAGAGTGGTGCTATAACACCGAGGTTGAGGGTTCAATACCTGTACCTCCTTCCTTGTTCTCCAAGGAAAAGCAATCTGTTTCACTTCTGAATTTCCATAATACCTTTTCTTTGACTATTTTATGGAACTTTTCACTTTCTACCTTGTGTTAGCTGTTCCTCCTCTAAGTCCTGTTCGATTACTATGAAAAGTTTGGAATTGCATTAAAATGGACCTTTAATGATAAATGGCTACTTAACAAGTGTCCTGCAGGTATGGTATCCTTATTGGATTATGATGCTTTATCTTGTCTTCTGCTTGAGGTTCAGACGTGGGATGAAATTTCTTTGGTCAGGAAGTTCCAGGACAGGTTGAATATTGCTTTTCTGGGTTAGCCGTCACTTGAATTACCTATCTCTGAGTTACAGTATTAGCACTTAGGGTTAGAAGAACTACTAAACTACTGTTTCTTAACTGGCTGAGGGTACCCAGCTCTCCCTGAGAGAAGACAGCATATTTTCAGGGCTCACAGCTCATTCCTTTTGAACATACTTTCCCTGGGGAAAAAAATAGGCAATGTGTATTTGATTACCCTGTTGGCTCTTAACTATAGGTACCTCCTGTACTAAAGAGATTTGCTTTTAACCTGTTCTGTGGTCCATCATTCATCTCCACAACTGCTCTAGAATCAAATCTGATAACTTGTTGCTTGGCAATAGTATGTCCCCTAAATAATGTACTTGGAAATCAGTTTCTCAATTCTGCTCCTTATAATTTATCAGAGATTTATGCCAAGGTTAACATTAGAAAACTTAGACCCTGTTTGAACCCTAGAAATTCAAGAAGACTAATGCTATCATCCCACTCAACTTCTTAAGAGAATGGCTCTGTAAGTCTAGATATCATACAGCTATCAAGTTTATACAGCTGCTTCAAAATTGGTACAAACCTTGTTAAGGTAGTTTGGACTGACTTTTAGAAGCTGTCGGGTCCGCTGCCGGCCGACCTGAACAGCCCTAGCCTCGTTCCTTTCAGTGGGCGAGCGAACGGCCCGGATTACTCTTTCCCTCCTGTCCCCTTTAGAAGGAGACGGGGGAAGAGAGCTGTGAAGAGAGGTGAGCACAGCCGCCGGCCCCAATCCAGCCCAGTTAAAGGACACTCAGATGCGGTGGGGGTTCTGTCAAGGCAGTTCCGTTTATTATCACACAAGCACTTGCTTTTATAGGCAGATAGGGAGGGGAGGTTTTAACATTCAGCTTAAAGGTCAAGGGCATGTATCCTGTCTCAATGCCTTTCAGGAGCGCAGAAGCACGTATTTGGCCAATATGGGCTTAAGCAAGGTTCCTGCAGACACCCCCACCCTACTTCCTCCTGGCGCCGTCTTAGGCTGCCACGTTAATACACCCTTGTGGGCCCATAATGGTACAGCTTGTAATGTCACTTAAGGTGGTGTTGGTTTTTAAGGCCCGACAGATATGGGAAACGGAAGTCATACTAGAGCAATGAAAAAACTCTAGGCGCTGGCTTTTAGATGTGCAGAAGTGACTGTGGAGGGAAATTATGTCTAGAATTTTGCTTGATCCAAGATAAACACAAATGTGAATTTCAAAATTTTTACTAAGTCTTGGTGTAACAAAAGTGACTATTAAGAAGTGACAGTTTTCCTCATTGAAAAGATATAGTGGATCTGAGTTTTGTGCATGAATGCCACATCTGAGTATTGTATATATACAGGCAATTCTTTCTCTGCCATAACAAAAATTCATACACACACACACACACACACACACACACACTTACATGGACTCTCTATATACACACACACATCTTTAATGGCACCACTTGTAATGTCACTTAAGGTGGCGTTAGTTTTTAAGGCCCGACAAGAAGCATCAACTCTTAACCTATGGCTTAATTTCATGACTTTTGACATTTCTTATAATATTTGTTCATTTGGCTTTGAAGACTGATTCCCAGATCTGACTTTAGTCACCTCCCTACCAATTATTAATATTCATTGGGATTTCTAGCCTGTCTTACCCTGTGCTTTCTTCAGTATTGCTTTATGTAACTTTGTAGAGGTAAATATTTATCTGGTCTGGGCCAGGAATTAATGAGAAGATTCTTGAACTGATCTGAGAACCTATAATTTGACTTGTACCTCTCAATTCTAAGCAGCTAAATGAATGTATGATATACTTCAATTATTAGAAGACCCTGGATCAAGGTTGTAGACTATGGAGCAGTGCTGTGGGTCTGTTCTGGAAAAGAGAGACCTCTTTGTCTTGAATATTAATCAGGGAGTGGACTTTTGTAGAATACACAGATTTTTCTTTTTGAATATCACCTGGGGTATTGTTATTCTTCTTTCCCAGTCTTTCCCACTTCATATTTAGGCAGAGAATACGCAAATTCAAAGAATGACTGAGCACTGGTAAGGAGATGAGTTTACTGGTTGGTATTATTTGCCTATTGCTACTTTTTAAAATATTGTAAACAAATTTATTATTACTACTAACCAGAGGAAAGAAATTAAAGAATCTAAGGCTAGAAGGTACATTAAAAATTCTTTATCCTAAATCTCTAACTTTACAGATGAAGAAAAAGACAGAAAAATAGAATCAGAATTGTGTTATGCAAATGTGCATACATTTTAGAGTCAGAGAAATTGGAAGTGGAATTTTAGCTCTGCCACGTATTAGCTGTGTGAATTTGGGGACATAGCCTCTCAAAACCTCAGTTTCCTTGTCTATAAAATCAGAATAACAATAGAGTTGTTCAGATGACTGACTAAAAGAGATGAAGAATGTAAAGTGTCTAAAACAATGGGTGATACATAATAAATATTCAAAATAGTGCTTGTTGTTATTATAATTATTATTAATATCAATAAAGAAGTTTTAATGAAGTGGTTGCCAACTGATTTTACATGAATTCTCTTTGTAGTACAGACTTTTTTCTCCCGTGGAGACATAGAACAAAGTAGATTTCTAAAAAAAGGCCCAAAGGGAGCCTTAGAAACTGGGGTTAGATACTGAAAGAAAAAAAGTCAATTCATTTGAAATTGGAGAGCAGAAAAGATCTGTTCTCTAGTAACTTTACAATAAGAAGAGATTATCGTTCATTTATTCTGCAAACATCTGTTAAACACCTCTATCAGGAACTTTGCTATATCCATTGTGAATGTAGAGATGAGTAACACGTAACCTCTAAAGGAATTCACAAATCAGTGAGGGAAAAGAATCTGTAAGCAGTAAAATTACAATATAGTATAGATAAGTGTTATTACAGAGACATGAACAGAAACCTCTTAGGTCACAGAAAACTAAATTTTCCCTAAGTAAATCGAGTGTGAAAGTGCAGAAAAGATGGAAGTAGTTGGGGAAGACCTTATTGAGAACATAGCCTACGCTAATAAAAGTGGAATGAAACTAGGTAGAGAATCTAGATTTGTCCTTGAACCTGCGGCAAAATGCCCACATCAGAGTTGACTAATAGAAAACAGGCCAGTGAATATCTAAAGAAAGGAAGGTAACATTTATGGTGTGTTTCAAATATGCGTGGCATTGGGCCAAAAGCTTTCACATATATTACCTCATTTAATTTGCAATAGATACAATACTATATTTTATTTATTACACTGGTGTACTATGATTGCCTACCTATATTTAATTTCTTTGCAAAAGCCTTACAACCTATAGTAATATTTCAGATATAGGAAATGACTGGGTTAATGGCAATCAATATCTGTGAGAGAGGAAACAGAAAATAATGAAAGACTATACTTTAGGCCAGTGGTTCTCACTGAGGTTACTGGACCAGCAATATGAGCATCATCTATGAACTTGTTAGAAATGCAGATTTTCTGGCTCTACACCAGACCTTACTGAATCAGAATTCCTGGGGATGGGACCAGCAATCTATATTTTAAGAAGGTTTCCAGGAGATAATAATAACCTGCTTTAGGCCAGGAGTCAGCAAACTACAGCATGTGGACCTAATCCAGTCCATAACCTCTTTTTGTAAATAAAATTATATTGAAATACAGCCATACCAATTCATTTATCGTTGTTTATGGATGCTTTTGTGGCAGATTTGATGTAGTTGTAACAGAGACCTTATGGCCTGCAAAGTCAAAAGTATTTACTATCTGCTACTTTCCAAAAATGTTTGCTGACTCCTGCATTAGGCCTTAGGCACTATATAAAGGTCTAAATTTTGAATGTGTAAGCAGATATTTGCTAATATGATTGAAGACCATGAAGGAAAAAGGACATTTTTCATGGTTTTAAGATTCTTAACCTGTTATCTTTCCCTTTTAGTCAAGGAAACTATCTAAATGGGCCTTTTAGTTCAAGTCTACTGACAATCCCGAAGCAAAGGTCATCTTCTGCGTCAGTGACTCACCATGTAGGTCTGAGAAGAGCTGGTAAGAAATCATTCTTTATGATTTAAATATGGGAGTTCTCAAAGTATATGGTAGCATAAATTGATTTCATTACACATTTATAGCTAATTTTGAATACCATTTTATGTGTTGGAAGTTAACATGACTAAACAATTTGGATTGGATACTAGCTGACCATATGCTAATTTATCCAATAAGCTTTTTTTTTAATATCTCTGTACTAGGCACTTTGTTAGGCACTAGGGATTTGGAAATAAAATACAAAACTATTTTACTAATCTGAATAGTTGCAGATCCAGAACAGGGAAAATCTTCAGGAAAGGATATTTCTTTTGTGCAATAGTAATTGTGAAGAAATAGGAAAAACCTCAATTAATCCAGGCAAGTCATTCTAATGGGAATTTTCTTTAAATTAAAAGACTATGGAATGCTTCAAAACTTCTTGGATGAAAGATATTCTACAAATACAACATACATAGCAGAGCAGTACTGATATTCTGCTTTTAAAATACATTATGGCTGATATCAGACAGGTGCAATGGCATATACAGTCACAATTTTATACACATTACAAAGTAAAACATGTGAAAAGACAGGAAAATATTGATAATCAAGAAAAGCAGGCACTAGAAGGAGATCTACATATGATATTGATAATGGATTTAACAGTCTTTAAAAATAACAATGTTTTAAAAGAAATAGAAGGCAAGATGGGAAAAATGTATGTAAACTTTAAACAGAGAACTGGAACACAAAATGTAAGAGACTTAAGGGACAGAGTCAAAAGTTCTAATATATGTGTGAATGAAGTCTCAAATGGAAAGGAGATAATAGGTAGAAAAGAATAATTTTCCAAAGCTATTAAAAGAATGCAACCAATAAATTTATAAAGCTTAGTGAACCCCAAGGAGGATAAATACAGAGAAAATCACAGCTAAGTATATCAGAAAAAATTTCAAATGCAACCAGAAAAGGGTTATTTTCTAAGGAGCAACCATAATACTGACAATGACTTTTCAATAACCACTATGTAAGCTAAAGGCAATGGAATGGCAGACTTAAAGTGTTGGAAGAACAAAATTGCTAACATAGAATTCTTTATCCAATGAAATCCTTAAAAAATTAAAGTGAAATAAAAACTTTTTTTCAAAGTGCCCCCCCCCCCAATAGTAACTAAGTGTGGTGATGGATATGTTAATTGATTTGATAATGGTAACCATGTCAGTGTATATACATAAATTAAATCATGTCTTGAATATATAGAATTTTTATTTGTCAATTATATCTCAGTAAAGCTGGGGAAGATCTTTTCACCAAGTCAGATAAGAAGTTAGAAAAAAATGAAACTTTGTTTTGTACAAACATAAGCTGAAAGCATTTGTTGCTAGCAGACTTGTGCTACTAAGATTCAGCAAAGGAATTTCCTTAGATAGGAGGAAAATGACCCAGATTGAAGCATGGAACTGCAGGAACAAATAAAAAGCACTGGTAAGGCTAAATAGATGGGTGAGTATAAGGAAATATTCATGAGTAAAGACAACAATAATAGCTTCCTTTGTAGCATTTTTAATATACGTAGAAGTGACATATATGGTAATAATAGCATAAAGAGTGGGGGCGGGGTAAATAGACTTAAAGTTTTTGTAAGGAACTAGCAATCATTGAAAGTAGTCAAAAGTCCTAATTTAAGAGATACTAATATTTCAAAAATACACATTATAATATCCAGGGGACAATTAAAAGAATAGGAAAACATATAATAAGGGCTGACTTGTTAGCTCAGTTGATTAGAGTGTGGTGCTGATAATACCAAGGTCCAGAGTTCGATCCGTATACCAGCCTGCTGCCAAAAAATTTTTAAAAATTTAAAAATTTAAAAAAGAAAAACAAGAAAAAGATATAACTAGAAAGCTAATATGGGAGGTAAAATGATGTGATTTTAAAAAAATTTGAATAATTCAAAAGAATCCAAGGAAAGAAAAATAAGAAACAAAAACAGAAGGAATGAATAAAAAGTGAATAGCAAGATTGTGGATTAAAAACACTGTATTACATTAAACATACACCCGGGGGTCAGAGGAAAAGATCCGAGCAGAGTTGTTACAATATATTATCTAAAATGTCCAGTTTTCAACAAAAAATTGGACTGTACACTCCAATTAAAAAACAAATATTGTCAGACTGAATTAAAAATACAAGACTCAACTATAAGCTCTTTACGTGAGGCGTACTCTAAATATAAGGACACAGATAGATCTGATCTCATAGCAGTAAATACATGAACTAAAAATTGATAGAATTAAAGGTTGAAACAGACAAATCAATATTCATATTTGGAGGCTTTAACTCTCATTAACTAGTAGAATAAGTAGACCAAAATAGTATAGATATATGGGAGACTTGAACATGATTAACTGACTTGATTTAACTGACTATAAAACACTACACCTAGCCATCATAGGGTACTTATTTTTCTAAGAACACAAAATATTTATCACAACAGACTGTTCGCTTGACTGTAAAGCAAATCTCAATGAGTTTCAAAGGATTAAAATAATATAAAGAGATCAACTTCTGGAATGGCAAAGGGAGGATCTCACTCTCGTACTAAAACAACAAAAATAGTTGCAAAACAGTTTCAGAAGTCTGGAACTTAACAAAAGCCAGAAGAGCTAGAGGTCATCTATCCAAGAGAACTACTGAACCTTGGTAAGACAGAGGATTCTGTGACGTTTTAATTTGGTGCATCACTGTCTCGCCCTCTTTTTCCAGCTCGGTGGTACAGTAGTCAAAAGCCAACAGCTTTGCAGCCATTTGGATAGGTCTGACCTCTCTTGGAACCCCATTAAAAGCATCATTCCTAGAGCTCAGTAAATATTTTGTCCAAACTTACATCTCCCTGGAAAATTTCTTATTCTCCAGGTATTGTGGCTATTTGATTTGATCATAGCTCAGCTCACCAACACAAAACAAAAATTAAAAAAAATCCTACTCCCAGGCATTGCCAAGATGATAGCAGTCTGCTGACAACTTTGTGACTGTCTCAGGCTGTGATTTCAGTTGTGGCAAATAAGCATTGACTGAGAATTTAAGGAAAATCCTAACTAGATGACCATAGGGAACTTTGGAAAGCACTGACATGTTCCTGGAATCTAATAGTCTGCACACATGTACAAGGCTGAACTCATGCCCAAGAAGGATCTGGGAAAGGAGAAGGCTCAAAGTCACTCATCTCTGGCTGACCTTTAGGCCCTGCACAAGCAGAAAGTGAAAGCTAAGGCTGTCTTATAAGCCACCTGAAGTTTGAACATGTGTCTTTTCACACAGATTCCCTTGACAAAAGATAGAAGACATATAGATAAGACATTTAAAGAAATCTACTGACTAATTGTTTGCTAATCTCTAAATTATACTCACCCAGGGATGACTCTTAAGAAGCCAAGCTTAAAAATAAGATCAAGAACTTACAACAACAACAACAACAAAAATCTAGCAGAGACGTAAGTGGCTACACACCACAAAGAAAACAGAATCTAGATAATTAGTCCAGGAAAGTCACTAAGGAAATAATCGGAAAGAAGAAAACAAACAAAAAGTCAGCAACATAATAAACCTTGGTCATAGGAGGGATCTAATACCATAGTTGTTACAATATTTTATCTAAAATGTTCAACAAAAAATTATGAAACATTCAAAGAAACAAGAAATGTTTTGCTATGGACATGAAAAAAAAAAGTAGCCAACAAAAAATTTTTCTGAAGGGCTTGGATTTTTAGACTTAGTAGACAAAGACTATAAATTTGCTATTATAAATATGTTTACAGAAAGAGGAAACCATGTTTGAAGTATTTAAGAGGAATATGACAATAGTGTCTCACCAAAGAGAATACAAATAATTAGAAATTATAAATTTACAAAATAATGTTAATAATTATGAGGTAATTGCCACTTCTACTCAATATTGGATTAAAGGTTCTAGCCAGAGCAATTAGGTAAAAAGGAATGAAAGGAAGAAGTAATACTATATTTGTAGATGACGTGATTTTTATATACAAAATCCTAAGAAATTCACTAAAACCTATACAACCAATAAACAAGTTTATCAATGTAGCAGTATATAAGATCGATATACAAAAATTAGCTTTATTTCTATACACTATCAATGAACAATCCCAAACTGAAATTATGAAAATAATTCTGTTTATAGTTAGCATAAGAATAAAATATCTTCAAAGTTAAAAGGGAAGGGGAAAAAAGAATAAAATACTTTGAAATAAATTTAATAAAACAGTACAATACCTTTACAGTGAAAACTATAAATCATTGTTGAAAGAAATTAAAGAAGACCTATATAAATGGAAAGACATCCCATATTCATGGAACAGAAGACTAAATTAATATTGTTAAGATGGCAGTATTCTCCAGATTGTTCTAGATTCAGCACAATCCTTATCAAAACTTGAGCTGGCTTCTTTGTAGAAATTGCCAATCTGTTTCCAAAATTCATATGGAAATGTAAGGGTCCGAGAATAGTTAACACAGTTCTTTAATAAAAAATTAGAGGATTCACACTTCCAAATTTTAAAACTTAACTACCAATCTACAGTAATCAAGACAGTGTGGTGAAGGCATAAGGATTTTCCAAGTCAATGGAACAGAATTGAGAGTCCAGAAACAAATTTTTACATTTATGTTCAAGTGATTCTAAACAAGGGCGCAAAAATAATTCAATGGGAAATGAACAGTGTTTTCAAGAAATGGTGCTGGGACAAGTGGATGTAGACATGCAAAAGAATGAATTTGGAACCCTACCTCTCATCGTACTCAAAAATTAACTCAAAATTCATCATAGACTCAAATGTAAAAGTTAAAATCATAAGAGATAACAAGTATTGTCAAGGGTTTGGAGAAAAGCAACCCTTGTACACTGTTGGGAATGTAAATTGGTACAGCCATTACAGAAAACAGTATAGTGTCCTCAAAAAAATAAGAATAAAACTACCATATGACCCAGCAACCCC